GAGAAAAGGCTGCCTTTTCAGTAATGATGGAAATCAACACTGCAGCGCTGAGAGATGAGGAATAATTTTGCAGAATAAACAGTTTAACTGCTCAAGTTGGGTTTTGTTTTACATTTTTTACCCAATGTTGGACATTCGGTTCTTTAATTACCTTGCGCTTTTCTCAGGAATAAATGAAAAGCTGTGATTTTTTTGTGTGTGTCAAATGTCAAATTCGAAGGTCTTGAATAAAGCGGCCACAGTGTACAAGAATGTTCCTTCTTGTGCTTTGAGTAATTGTGGTCATATTCACATATTGATATGTCAAATTATGAGGTTGGAACTCTAATAGTCTAATAATTTGTTAGAATATGAGACCCAGAAACAGCCGCCAATATAAACTGTCATTTTCCTTCCATCTAGGACATTTTAACTTTTTTAAGAGTGGAATATTACTTGGTTACTCTTCATTTTTTTTAACTGATTTTCAATAGATAATGAAAGTAATTTGTAGACCTACTGCTTTCTCTGATTAACCTTAGAAAGATCATCTTAAGTTTACATCTCTGGTTAAATATGAACAAATTTGAAAAGTGATACCTTTTTGAAAAGCAAATGTAATTTCACTTTCTTCCATTTTAATAATATTGATAAAATATGATAGACTTCATAGTCTCCCCTGTGCAAGGTATGGAGAAAGGACCTGGTCTAATTCCGTTACTTGTCTCCTTAGGAACTCTGTTAGCTAGAGTCCCATAATACTAGCTTCCTGGGGCCACCTGCCCTCCGAACTCTCTCCTACCAGCCCTCTTGGCCTGCCCCCCTCTGCCTGGTCTTACCCTAGGGTGTCACCCAAGAGTCAGGTTCTAGACTCTCTTCTCTCTCTTTTTTCTTTTTAATTAAACTATCATTGATATACAAATTTGTGAAGCCTTCACATGAACAACATTGTGGTTTCAGCATTCACCCATATTATCAAGTCCCCCCTACCACCATTGCAGTCACTGTCTGTCAGTGTAGTTAAGCTGCTACAGAGTCATTACTTGTCTTCTCCAGGCTGTACTGCCTTCCCTGTGACCTACCTATATTGTGATCAGCAATTATAGTGCCCCTTGATCCCCTTCTCCCTCCCCTTACCCTTCCCACCCCCTCCCCTTTGGTAACCACTAGTCCCTTCTCCGTAGACTCTCTTCTCCTTTTACTTCTCCAAGGAAGTGTCCCCATCTGTACTTCATCTGAGACCCTTCCACTGTGTGACTGGTTGCCTTGGAAATCCATCAGCTCCTTAAACTCAGGCTGTGCAAAACCAACTGCCCCCTCCTCTGACACAGTCCTTGCCCCGTGGTCAGCTCACAGTGTCACATGCTGTGGTCATTCAGTGTTGAAGCTTTGTGATACCTGTGAGCCCTCTTCCCGCCAACATCCTCCCACCCCCACATCCACGGCCCCCCTGCCAGCTCTCACAGTGTCTGCTCTTCGCTTCTGCCGCAACCTTCTTGCTCAGCTCCCTGGCTTCGCTCTGCGGAACTATTTCCTAAGAAGTCAAGGGCAAAAAACAATCAGGGCGTGAGCAGGGCCAGATGCTGCTCTAGAAAGAGGAAGAAAACTGGCTTCTGGCTTTGGTGTATGGGAGGTGCCAAGTGGCTGGTGGAACTGGGCTCTGGAGAGTAGTGGGGGCAGGAGACAGGTGTGCTAGGGGATGAGAGGGGGAGACAGGGGACCTTAATTGGGCCACTCCCAGCGTCCGCTGGTGGAGGGAGGGACACAATGCAGGAGATAGGGAACATTTGTTAAGACAAAGGAGGTGCACATCTCCTTTATTTTTTTCTGTAAAGTAAAAATAAAAACTAAAAAATAAATCAAGAGATTGTTACCTTTTTACTATGGCAGAAGGCGGACAACATATTATAAATAATATCATTTATATACATACATAACGTGTATAGAAATAGCCATTTGTAAGATACATTAGTATATTCTGTATTTCAAGACACGTGATAACCTTACGGTGAACGTGCCATACTAAGGACAGCCGGAAGCCCTGGTGATGGAAGTGAATTCCCTCAGGATGAACAGTTAGCCTGTCTACTAGTTCCCTCCACACACAGGAAGTCAGTGTCAGGTGGGTGCCAGGCCTTGAGCTGGCTTGGCACTGGGCTGGCAGACATGCAGAGGAGAGAGCCCTGAGCTTCAGCTCCTCCCAGTCTCACCCAGACATGGAAATTCATTCTCTTAAATACTAGATGGACAGAAGCCCAATGGAGTCCATACTTAATTCTCAGGATGAACGGGGAGATCATGCCACTGGGCAGAGCAGGTGGGGCAGCTTCCGGAAACAAAATTCAAAGTAGATACAGGGGAGAGAGAGAGCACAGAGCACTGCAACACGCTGAATTCGAAGTCAGTGCATTGGGGCTCCCACCTGGCGCCTGAGTCCCAGCCCCGCGGGGCTGAGCAAGCTCTGCAACTCACGGAGCCTCGGCTATGTCCTCACCTAGATGCAGTAATACCTGCCGCCCGGGGTTGCATAAAATCCGTTGAGCCGGCGATCGTCCCTGTTGTCATGGATGGCGGCAGCAGCAGTGGGCCTCCAGGGCTTCCCGTGGCGCAGCGCTGCCGAGCCAGCAGGTGAAGGTCCCTGACTGCTCCCCTCGGGAGCAGCAGCTGCATCTCAGCTCGCGCGTGTCCTTTACGCACCTCAGTGGGGGAATGACATAATCAGATTTCGGTTTAAGAAGATCACTCTGCAGGCAGTTTGAGGATGGACTGGAGAACAGGAAAAAGAGCAGAAAAACACAGGCACATAATCTTCCCAGGACAGTAATCATCAGTCTCCCCAGTTATGCCGTGAGAGAAGCTGATGGGATCCCAGTGATTGGTCGCTATCCAAAGGAGAAAAAATGCTACTTGGTCAACAAACATAGGAACAATTGCATTCATCGTTTTGGAAGGAGACCACGGTGACAGAATTATAAACAAGAATAAGGCATTTTAAGCTCACTGTCAGACTTGGTTGAGTTGTGGATTTTATAATCAAGTATAGTTTCAAAAGAACCCCTAAAGCTTTTAATCTCATTCTCAAACCATTTTAGTTTTCAAATTAGATGTTATTAGCCTGGGGCTCATCCATGGATGGGGATCATACAATGTGTAGATTCCCTAAAATCAGAGGCCAAAAGTCATCAGCATGTTTGGTTTCCATGTGGGGAGTGACCACATAAGCATTCCTCACATGCTCAGATGAATCTAGAACCCCAGAAAAGGTTAAGAACCATTGTGTATCTGTATATAGAAAAGATTGCCATTGCCTAGAAAGACTCTCTGATGGACACTGACTTAGACACTTCATCTGAACGCCTCTTACAGTGCAACCGGACATCTGCATGTGGGTGTGTGATAGGCATTCCATGTCAGCATAGCCCAGGCTGAGCTCCAGATCTCTCCCTACACCCGCATCCCCTTAACCTTCCCCAACTGTTTTCTTCTCCCCACTCAGGCCAAAATCCTTGGGGTCTCCATTTGGATTTTTCATGCTCTGCATCCACGCCTTAGGCCGTCATCTCTGTCTTCGAATATGTCAGGAATCTGACACTTCCTTCACCCCAGCTGCCACCACCCTGCACCAGTTCTCCATCATCCTTTCCCAGTATATTGCAGTGGCCTCTGCCCTGCCTCCCTGCTTCTTCCCTTATCCCTCTTCATTTATTCTTCACAGCAGCCGAAGAAACACCTGCCCACAAACCTCCAGTAGCTTCCCATCTACTGCTGATTAAAATCTAAAGTTCCTAACTGCCCTCTGAGCTTCATGTGACCAATATGACTTGACCCCTATTAAGTCCCTGGCACTGCTCACTCTCCACACTGGCTCTGTGGATTCCTCAAACATGCCCCCTCAGGGCCTTTGCACATACAGTGTGGCCCCTGCTTGGAAGGCTCTTCCTGCAATATGTGTGTGACTTGCTCTCTGTTCCCCATCAGGTCGTTATGCAGGTAGGTCTTCTTGGGCCTTCTGTTTAAAACTGCAGCACCCTTCCCTCACCCAACTCTGGAATATCCTCCTTTCCGGCTTTATTTTTCTTGTGCACTTATCACTGACACATCTTACACTTCCTGATACTGATATATATTATAGTTCTTGTTTGCCCCCCAGTATAACGTAAGCTCCCTGAGAAGCTTGTCTGCTTTTCCCCTTTCCTTCACTATTCTATCTAGAGTACCTGTCACAGTTCTTGACATAGCAGAAACTCAGTAGCCTTGATGGAATGAATGTTATTTTGAGAATTTATTTGGTATCTTTGCAGTTATGATCCACATGTTCTGCTCTTTGTAACTAGGTATTGTATCTGTAATTACATTGAACTGTTTGAATAGATGCTATTTCTTTTCTAGTTCACATCGATACTTAAAATGGTAATTGATGCAGTAATAATTATTGATCTTGGTGGTTTCAAAGTTCCCCATGTTAACCTGCATTCTATTTCCCAATAGACACTTGGCAACTGAAAGAGTTCATCTCTGTCTACTTCTTACAGGTTCCTCAAATCCCACACCCTCATCAATGACTTCATAAATTCCTTTAAGGTTACTATAATTAACTCAAATTGCCGTGATATAATTTTGAAAACTGTCGTGTTGGTCCACTATTACAGTTCCTAGCTGTCACAACACCTTTCAGAGTACCTTGCAGGCTTACCAATAGGGCTATTTAATTAACAATATCTTTTTATAGTTTATGGCATGCTTCTGGTTCTTTGCCAGGATATAAGAGACATTTTTATAAAATGAATTGACACCTGCTTATGTGTCTCTTTTATATATCTGGAATTTTCTATACCAGTTATTCTTAAAGTAGAAGGCATCTGGGCCTGACATTGAATGTCTTGCTCTATTAGCCTGAACTCTTTGGAACAGCCGTAATAACCTAGAGCTCTGAGGACTTTCTAATGGTAGTTCAGGTGGTTAAATTTTTTTTTCAAGAGTGCCGATTTTTATGTTTCTGTGTTTATCTTCCACTGTTTCAGGCCTTACAAGGTGAACTAGAAAACCGCTCTAATCAAGTGCGATGTGCAGAGAAAAAACTACAGCACAAGGAATTGGAGTCACAGGAACAGGTACTCTCCCCCCTCCCCCACCTCCACCAGTTGGCTGGTGGCTTGTTTACTTTGTCCAGGTCCAGGAGCTTATGGATTTCTCATGTCCATTGGGATGCTTCGGCTGCAAGTAACAGAATACTGCCCCCTGGTTGGCATGAACAGCCTCACAAAACCAAAAGTCTGTAGATAGGGCTCTGGGCTTCTGCTTCTCTGACAACCTCCTGGGTCTGCCCTCTGTGTTAGCTACACCCTGAAAGCGATTCCACGATGGCCACAGCAGTTCCAGGCATCCATGCAGGCCTATCAATATGCAGAGGCAGATGGGGTTTGTCTTTTCCTGGGGTCCCCTTTCCCGGAACTACCCCGCACACACATGCACATACCTCCCTTTGCATCTCATTGGCCAGAATGGGTCACATGCTCAGCCTAGCATATCCGATCCCTAACAAGAAGACAGGGGAATAAAACTAGCCTGGACTGATGAGGATCTACCGGGTGGTGATGGAATTAGGGGAAACATAGCCTGGAGGGGGAAATGGATGCTAGATATGCAGCCAACGGTGTCTGCCATGTCATCTTATTAAAATAAATGGACATTATTATACTTAGAGACATAATTATATTTTCTTTTGAGTTTTAACTTTCTCCTCTTTCTTTCCATTATGTTAATAAATCTAATGTAGTCAAAATAATCTGGCTATGACAATAGCTAATGACCTATTTTACTTTCAAATGACAGGATTATTTTCATTCTTCTGGTTATAGTGACTTATTCTTTGTGGTAATTTTGACAGTCAACAACATGTCAATAACAATCACAAGTCTCAACGAAACCCTTCATAAATACATTGTCCTCAGCCATTGGGTATAGTACTGCTGACATTCTAAGTGTCATGAGTCTTTATGCACAGAACCTTACATAGGTACTGACAGGCGTTTATATTTTGGTTGTCTCATAGTAAATTCAGTACAGGAATAATAGGATAGATCATTTTGACCTTGTAGAAAGGGTAAACACTGAAGTAAGGCTAATAGGGGAACTTTCCATTTCTGGAAATGTTTTCAGACAAGATCCTGAGGCAGTGGGTTACACAAAATGGCAAATGTGAGCATCGAATAGATGCTGAGTATTAATACTTATTGAATTGACTTGATCTCCTATAATTCCTTCCTACTTTCTAATATATACCCTGGATGATAAACATATCATGGATATATCTATATTTCATGTACATATATGATATGCATATATACATGTATCTATATGTATTGTTTAGGGACTATGCCATACAGTCAATAATAGGATCACAAAATAAGATAATACTAGGTTGAAATAGTAACTACACTTTATCAAAAACACTATACAAGAAACTTGTGCTTATTATTAGTTCACTTATCCTGATAATAACCATATAAAGCCAGTATTATTCCCATCTCACAGATAGCACATTAATAACCAAAAGGTTGAATGACCCATTCAAGACCATATAGCTAGTAACTAATAGACGTGGATGGAGTCCAGGTATATCTGGATTCCACACCTTTGCTTCTTTCACGACAATTTTTAAGTTACACATTTCTAATTAATAAAAAATACTACTTAGCAGTGACAGGGAAAGAATGTTTATTAAGGATAGCAGGAAACAGGGCTACTATTCCACACTCTACTCTACCTGCTATAGTGGCAGATGCCATCAGCCCGACATGGGCAGGGAACAGCAAAAAGCAAGGGAAATCAGAGCAGATCAGATTTGGCCACGGACGAAAATGCCTCCTTAGATGGCAGCGTGGTGTTCAAGGGGAATCTGAATAGGATTAATGGTCACTGAAGATCAGCTGAAATCGTCACTCCACCCTCTATATAGCTCAGATGCTTGTACCTAAAAGAAGATGACAAGCTTCTTAAAAGCAGGACACTGTGCTCCCTCCTGGGGCTTCTCCAGTCTGTGATAAAATATGACTTCAGGTAAAACTTTGTTGACATCACTCTAATTCATGGCAAAACTTCACACGGAAAATTCCACAATATATTGAGAGTAGGGAAATTAAGAAATCCCAAATGAACAATAAGGAAGGATTCAGGAGCCATTTGCAGTTTTTTTTTATTGACTTCTTTTTGATCATCAAAGTTGCTTTCATCTTTGTAATGACAATAGCCTTTTAGACTATTTCTTACGCTCATTCCTCATATCTTCTGTTAGGCTGCAACTGACCAAAGAAATGCCAGGAAACACCCATACGTAAAGCTGAATATTTCATGATCTTTGCAACCATGAAATGTTGGGTTCTTTCCTTAAGATTCTAGGGTATAGCTAGAAAAAAATGCCAATCATTTCAACAAAACTGAAGAGCAAATAATGGGCACTGAATAAATTCTATTCATATATATTTAATTGAATGGAACTTGTTTTACCTAAGTTTACCTGTGCTCCCCTTTCGTTTAGGACACTAATAGACCTAGTCAAAAATAATTAGAAGCGTTGTCATGCACATTTTCAGGGCTGCTTATGTATCAGCTTACCTAAGATATGTCAGATCTTGAAACTGTTGTGATTTTCTTCTTTGCATCTGTCAAACAACTGCAGTAATAGTAGCTTAGCTGACATCAGCTAATCAAACAACCGAAACGTGTGCAAAAGAGTTCCTCCGAACTCTCTTCTTTTTCACGTCAACCAAATACTATTGTCCTGCCTGATACTTGTCACATAAAGAATCAAAATTGAAACTGGCAGAATTACAAAGGACAATTGCCTGGGCTTCCTTTTTTAACTTGCTTGCTTTCAAAAAAGTTTGAACTGTTCTGTTTTTCATTTAAGAAGAATTCCTGTGTTTTGATTCTATAAAAACAAAAAATGAATGAGGCATTTTAAAAGTTATGTTTTTAATTAAAAACAAAACGCTGCTTCTCATCAGGTCCTGCTGGGTGGCATCCTTGCTGCCCACCACTTGCCTCAGTGCCATCAACTCTCACCTCTCACCCCTCATCTTTGGCAGGCCAGTCAGTGGGGTGCTCAGAGAAGGCTTGTTCATCCTGTTTCAAAGGGTCAGTTTGCCCTTCGTGCAGATTCAAGATAACACAAATTTAGAAAATGCTAATTTTCTAAGTCAGCCTTATGGAAACATGATCCTTCCTGGAATCCATAAATAGTAAAGTAATTAAGAAGCACCTTTATTTTTATCCATACCAGGAGTTAATATATAGTTCCAGATAAGATCTGAACAAGAATCCCAGAACTGCACCAAAGGAGGGGAGATCAGAGTTCTGATGAAACTTCCTCATGTGCAAGGAAACTGAGTTACCAGGAAGGCTGTGCCTTCCCTCACAGTGGTGGTCGACCAAGTGTGGGCTGCTCACTCCCAGGATATTATTTTCCATTATATTGAACACTGTGTGAAATATGCTGTGTATCACTTGGATTCAGAGATGTGTAAAACTAAATCTCATTTTTGGGAGCAAACAATATATCATTATTCACAATGAGACTAAGTAACATGCTAGCCCTTTGCCAAGATAATGCGGCCTGATAAATTATAGAAAAGAGAGGGAAGGAAAGAAAGAATCTAAAAATTTACTTGATATGCTTAGCACAAGTATATTTCTGAAGCATGTATTTATCACAAAAGCACTAAACAATGCCCGACTTTAACCTAATATAATGTAGGTAATATCCACTCAACAAAAGCCCTGCTCTGAACTAGGTATCTTAAGTTTTGAAAGTAAGAATAGCTTTGATTACAGTAGTCATTCAGTTTCCCAGATTATTTTAAATAAATTAGTGGAAGAAAACAGTCCTTCAGAGATCTAATAAATATAATACAGTGCCACCCATTTCATAGCAGGGTCATGCATTTTTTTTATTCCACATTTCATTTTCTCGATGGGCATGTTGTGCTAGACAGTGATAGGGATTAAGAAGCAACCCAAGATAAATACATAATAGTTCCTGCCCTCAAGGAGTTTACCTTCTGAGGAGGCAGCTTCAGGGACCAGAAGGTAGCGTCAGTGAGCAGGAAAATAAGACCAGAAAGTTAGCTTCATTCATTTTGTCCATTAAAAAAAAGATAGGAATAAGCCTTTGTTATTGCCTATTCTTTACCAAGCACTGTGCCGTGTGTTAGGTCCAATGGTGCCAATCTTGGATGCAATGCTCAGAAATCCAGTCATTGATCAGAAAGCAGTTGTCAGCCATTGAGGATTTTTTTTCTTTAACTGGGCAGTGTTACATGATTGCATTCATACTTGAGAAAGATTATTCTAGCAGCAGAAGATAAGATGAACAAGAGATGAAAAGAAGCCAGTTCAGAGGGTATAGCACTAAAATTCACATCACTAGTCACAAATGAAATCAGGACAGCTTGAACCAGATATTGTCAAAGGGAGCCGCAGAGAGGATAGATAGATGTGCAGGCTCAAAATTCACAGAACACAAAGATTTAGAGGGCAAAAGAAAGGAAAATGTCACAAATAATACCCAGTTTTTGACTTGTTAAGATGGTGAATAATGAACCACAACAGCATCACTTTATAGATGTTGAGTGTGAGACGCTCATTTGGACATGTTGTTGAAAATCTGAACTAGAACTCAAGAAAGAAATGCATCTGAATCATCTTGATGGGGCACAGCAAAGGCCGCAGGATGTGGGTGATCGTGTCACAGGACAGCACAGAGAGGAGAGGGCCAGGGGCAGACCGCAGGCAAGAGGCATGCAAGGGAGCGAAGCAAGCAGGGGAGGATATGAAGAGGATTTAAAGGAATGAAGGGTCAGAGAGGTAAGAACAGAGCCAGAAGAATGCAGTCACGAAAACCAAACGAAGCTTCCTCCTTGAGGGAAAGGACCCCATCCGCCACCTTCCTGGCACACCCTACAGCACTGTTGTTGACCTGAACTGCTCTGCGAAGGCTTTGCTGCCACGCGTGTCATCCTCAAAAGCAGTCTTGCCCATTCCATGTCCTTTTTCAGCCATGTTCTGGTCACACTCCTGTGAAACTCCGTTAAAGGTTTTCCCATCATACTCA